CAAGTCCAGTCTCAACAACTTAGCGAGACCCTCAGCAACTTACTGAGCACCTGTCTTAAAAAATAAAAATGGCTGGGGAATGTAACTCAGTGGTAAAGCACCCCTGGAGTCAACCCCCAATGTCCACCCCCAAAACAAATCTTATATCATAAATTTTTTCTCATTATTAACAATTTCTCATAATTACCATCTATTTTACTGGTCCCCTTATTTGGGATAATGTAGGTTATTTTACATTGCCATGATAGTTATTTTCTTTATATACATCTTTGGGCCCTTTGGGGAACCCTAAATCAGAAAGGGGTGAAGAAAATGGACTTTGTGAGTTTAAATGCAAACTCTATCTCAAGTTATCCTTGACATTGGAGTCTCAGTTTCTTCATCTTCAATAAAAGGGGGTTCTTACAGCAGCTCCAAACCTACAGATGTTATCTTAGCTTCATCATACAATCCACCTATTTAAAGTGTAAGTTCAGTGGTTTTAGCTTTATGAGGTTTTTGCAGGATTCAATTACACAGAACATATGAATTGTGTTTGCTTTTTTAGAACAGTTCTCACTATGATGGCCAAATTCATGGGCTCAAGTGATCCTCCTGCCTCAGCCTCCTGAGGAGCTGGAACCACAGGTGCACACCACCACATCCACCTCCAAGGCTAGGGTTTTTGTTTTTGTGGTGCTGTGCATGGGAGGCAAGCACTCTACCAACTGAGCTTTATCCCCAGCCCCAAGGCTAGGTTTTAAGAAGCAGCAATACAAGCTAGAAGCCTGTATGCCTATCAAATGCTTTGGAAATAGACCTTGTCAAGATATATGGGAGTCTTCTGAGTTCTCCAAAATGTATTTGTTTTGGAAGGAATTTTAGTGTTGGATAGAATTTGGGAACATATGCCGCGGTCTGGCTGGGCACAAAATCACGAGCCACTCAAGCAGGAACAAACTTTATTTCCAAAACTCCCGTGAATGCCACGCACGCGGTCTTTTCCCGGGACACACTACACCAACAGGAAATCCCTCCTCCGGAATTCCCTCCTACCGCACTTCCCCAACCAATGGGAACTCTCCGGGAGTCCGGTGAGAGCTCCAAAGTAGCAGGCCAAGGTGGACAGCAGGGGTCTAATCTCCAATTGAATGCACATCTTAACATAATCTTAACATAATCATTATCATCTCAATGGCTTGCTGGCGTCACCTTTCAACCAAAAATGCCATGCGTCATTCCTACTTGGCTATGGCTCTCAGCAAACATAGAAGGAATTAATAGGAAGTTGTTGGGCTGATTGATCCAAGATGGCCTCTCTGAATTACACTCACCCCCAAATGGCACACATGGAATAACTGGGGAGGTCAATACTGGTTTCCTGGCCTGTCACCCACCCTGCAGAGCCACCCACTTGACTCTTCATATATCCAAGTGAAACTCCTTCAGTTTAGGCTGCATTGGTGCCATTTCCAATTGCCTATGTTAATTCACACCACACCAGCTACATGGCAGGAGCTACATGCCAATTTTGTGGGGTGCCCAACCTATCTACCAACAAACCATAAAAACATATTCCATTTGGCTGTGGGAGGACTGACTGCAGGTTTCAGGGCTGAGTTAGTGAAATGTCAGCCACATCTGGAGTGTGTTGCACCAGAGTGGTGTGTGGGTGAATCCTCAGGCATCCCACAGGTGTGGGAGCAGGTTACGTGAGATGGGTGTGGGTTAGGTGACGAAGGATGACAAGAAGAGGCATGGAGGGTGGGTGGAGTCAGGGGTGGGCAAGGGTGGAGGTAAAGAATGGGGCCCTGGCAGGGTTTGGATTTAGTAGTCAGATCAATGGTTTAGAATCGTTTTTTGGGTCATGGCCTCCTTTAAGAATCTGATATATCATGAAGAAAGAACACACACACACACACAGAGACACTGACCCACAAATTTTGCTCACAGTTTCAGGGGTTCCTGGAACCCGGAAAGCTTGTTCAAGGGTTGAGATTAAGAATCTCTGATCTGGACTAGTTGATAGGAACTTGGGGGTAAAAATTCTAAAGTAGCATTAAGATTTTGAGAATGTTTGTGTCCTCTAGTGTGCTTTATTTGTTTTCTTCCGTATTTATTTTGAAAAATTTCAAACCTACCAAAAAGTTGCAATTTCAAAGACCCTTTAATTACATTTAATTACATTCACCGTCAACTTTTCCCCCCAACAGCCCCACCTCCCCCTGCATGCGTATGCTCTCAGGAACTCAAGTTTTCCTGGAGACCATATGAGAATAAATTGCAGACATTATGATACTTCATTCATAAGCACTTGGCATATAACTCCTAAAATCAAGGGGTTCTCCTGCATAGCCACAGTGCAATGACCACACCGACAAAATTTAACATCGATGTAACACTATTATGTAATATATGACCTATATTCAAATTCCCTCAATAGTGTCCTTCTGTTTGCTGTATTCTTTCTCCCCCTCCCTGTGTCTCTTCCCACCTTTTAAAATCCAGAATTGAATCCAGAATCATGCGCTTCACTTAGTCTCTTAGTCTCCATTAATTGGGGTTTGGTTTGGTTTGGTTTATATTGTGATCCTGATTGTTTTAAAGAGTCCAGATTGCTGGTTTTGTCAAATGTCCCCCAATTTGGATTTGTCTGCTTGTGTCCTACTGATTAGATTCAGGTTGAAGATTCTGGGCAGAATACCACAAGGGTGATGTAGCTCTTCTCACCACAGCACATCAGAGGGCCAGTTGGTTCCTTACTGATGATAAGTATGATCAGTGGTTAGGGAACTTCTAAGTTCCCCTATGTAACCCCCAAGTCATCTTTGGGATAGCATGGTAACCACTGAAGGCCTCTGGCTGTGGCCAGTGACAGATGAGCCAGTGCTGAGCATCCGGTCCTCATGCTGTTTTTACCTTTAAGGTGAAACTTGAAAAGGAAAAAGGAGTAGGCCTCGGGAAGGTGTTGGTGTCCCCTAGCCAAGCTTGGAAGGTGAAAGGAACTGAAAGGGGTGTGTGCGTGTGATGGTCTTGGGGAAGCAAAAGTGTTAGGAGAAACGCCCTGTCCAATAATAATAGCATAACACTTAGTAATCTTAACACTGTTTTGTTTCGCTGTGGTTTACCTTTTTAATTCTTCACACAGCCCTGTGAAGTAGATGCCATTACTGGCTTTATGCTATAAAATCTACAGCACAAGGTCACACGTTTGTAAGTCCTTGCTCTGAACTACATGAAGGGGGAGGGAGCAAGGTCTCATCTAAAAAAAACAGAATGAACAAGGATTGAAGTAGGAGCACCAGGGCTGGGAGAGGAGGTTCTATTCTAAAAGACCCAGGGTGGGCAAGCAAAACAAATGCAAGGCTCAGAAGAAGAAAGTAAGAGTGTTCAGAACTAGAAGGCAACACCATCACATGGGCCAGTTGGGTTGGCCACCCCATCCTCAGCCATCCCTAACTCCTTGTCTGTCCCTTCAGGCTGGACTGGCAATTCCCGTGCTCTCCCTTCTCCCAAACAAAAACAAAAAGGAAAATTAAAAAAAAAAAAAAAAAAAAAGGATTTTTACAGAGACTCAAAGTATCTCCCTACAAATTACTTCTTAGTTACAAAGGGAAAAATAGTAACTTAATAGTGGAGCAACCTGACCCACTCCAGTTTAACGAAATGACCCAAGAGGACATTCAGGGGGTTCTCAGGGAAGGCTCTGGAAAGGGATTTGAGGGAAGGCTCGGGAAGACTTAGGGAAAGGCAGGCTCTGGATGAAGAGAGAATGGGAGGTCCTGGGGTTGAGGGGGTCTGTGGGAGACAGGGCAGGGTCCAGAGGGGAAGGGAGAGGAAGGAGAAATCGGCAAGTGGGGGAGTTTCTGAGTTATGAGCGAGACATGGGGAGGGATTTGATGAGACCAGCTGGGTGACAGGCGGGTCAGAACAGGGTGGGGATGGGAGGTCTTGCGGGGATGAACCTGGGTGACCAGAAGGGCAGGGTGGGGGTGGGCGTCTCTGGGCGCTCCTGAGAGGGCCGCGACTCGAGGGGGATGGCTCCAGGGCCGCGGTCTGCGGGTGGGGGTCCCCGGGGCGAGCGGCCGGTCGGACCCAGTAGGCAACGCTGGCTGGGGCTGGGACTGGGGCTGGGGCTCCGCTGGGGCTCTGGGGGGCGGGGGGGGGCGGGGGGCGGGGCCGGCGCCACCCTGCGGGTCCCCCCGCGCTGCAGGGGGCGCTGTGAGCCCGGGCGGCCCGGGGCTGGGCGGCGGCCGCTCCTAGTGAGCGCGGCCCCTTTTCCGGGTTTCCTCCGCCTCCTCCTCCTCCTCCTTCTTCTCTGCCGCCGCCGCCGCCGCTGCCCCTTTCCCGGCCGGTGGCTGCCGCTGCCGGTGCCACCGCCGCCGCCTCCTGGGGCCGCGAGCCGAGCGGAGGCCGCCGCGGAGTGCGAGCGCCCCGCCGCCCCGCCGGCAGCTCCAGGGCCGGGCCGGCTCTGCCGGCGCCCCCCGCGCCCCCTGCCCGCCC